AACTTTTAATTTGTTGGAATGTTTCGTATGGCCAAAGTCTAAAAGATGAACCAATAACTCATAATTTGGTATTTTATGTTGCAGGTTCTAATCTAAAGAGAAACAGAGACGATAATACATATATAGTAACATGATGTCCAATCAGAGTTAATGTATTGATCTTATAATTATAGATAACATGTCGGTTAAGTTAATTTAATTTCTATTGGTTTATTTTAAGTAATTCGGTTATATTATTTAGTTAGCTTGTAAAATTATTATGATAACAAATAGGTAAGTGTCCAATATATAAAGGTAGCATAGTAACAAATCTGAAAGGGTCCAAATTTAAATCACAACATTTATAAGTATATAAAAAATTAGAATTCTGTTTTAATAGATTAGATATTACCTTAATGTAATATATATATATATATATATATGCGTATATGTTGTAGACTTGTAGTTTAGTTATAAAGAAGACTCGTGTTACACACATCCGTTTGATGTATATAAACCAACACGTCTCTTAGATTATTATAAAAGGACTTGTACTTCTTTTATCAATGTGACGTGAATGACTCTTTAAAACATACTGCAATCATAATTATTAAAAGTAGAGATTAAGGAAGATTTGGGATTTTTTATCCATCAAAAAAATCACCAAAAGGAGAAAATTAAAAACGAAAACATCAATTGGTGGAACTGCATCCAAACATGGATTAGAGGTTGTGTTTCTTACTTCTTCCCTAAAAAGCAATAGAGTTGAATTAATCTAAATCTAGAATATAATCTTGGGTAGATTGCATTATAGAAATCATAAAAGTTAAACTTATATGGAGCACCTAGCAGAAGAACACAAAAAAAGAACACAAAAAGGAGAAAAACAATTACATTGAAAAGTGTAAGCGTTGACCGCCGATGAATATTATACTGACGTGTGTGGACTTGTGTTGACATAACTAAGTCAAAAAATAGGAATGTTCCATCAAGTTCTTTTTTGACTAAGTCAACAAATAGGAAACTTCCATCAAGTTGCTACACACCAATCTGCTAAGTTATATGGTCTTAACAACATTCTTAAGAATATCAATCATCAAGTCTTTCTTTTCCATCAAACTCTCTCTGTCTCTATGGCTCTCTCCTTAGCTTCTTCTTCCTCTTCTCGCACTTGGGTGTACGATATTTTCCCAAGCTTCAGTGGGGCAGACGTCCGTGTTACTTTCCTCAGCCACTTTCTAAAGGAGCTTGACCGTAAACTGATCATTGCTTTCAAAGACAGTGAGATCGAGAAAAGCCACTCCATCGGACCCGAGCTTGTACATGCGATTAGGAGTTCCAGAATTGCAGTGGTTGTGTTCTCCAAAAACTACGCATCTTCAAGCTGGTGTCTTAATGAGTTGCTGGAGATAGTCAAGTGCAGGGAAGAGTGTGGTCAAATGGTGATACCTGTTTTCTATAGTTTGGATCCTTCCCAAGTGAGGAATCAAACCGGCGAATTTGGCCAGATCTTTGAAGAGACATGCCACAATAAAACTGAGGAAGAGATAATCCAATGGAGTGAAGCTTTGACCGATGTAGCTAATATCCTTGGATATCATTCTGTCATATGGTAAGATATTATGAACCATTTTTTTTCTTCTTCTTATCTATCTTGATTTTTGAATCAATGTTGTTACATGTGTTTGACATTATATCCCTTATCTACGATTTGAGAGACATTACAATCTTTGAGTTATAACATGAATGATTCTTAGAATGCATAAAAAATATATTGATCTTGAAAGCCCGGTGCGTGAGCCTGCCCATGGGTCACACGTCCCCAGGAGATTAGTCTGGGCCTATTTGGGCTTGGGATTTACTCATGAGTCATCAAAAAAATATATATATATATTGATCCATTTAAACATATAATATATTTTAATTATTAATGTATACAAATACTATTCTTTCTTTCATTAAATAAAAGAAACAAAATTACCTGGTATTTATTAAAATATATACGATAATAATATTTTAAATAATAAAAATTTGATAACAATATGTGTGTATTCTATCATTTTCTTTTCATTTATATTATTATATTTTTAAAATCACTATAAATTAATGAAACTATTAAACATTCCACACTGAAATTTTTCTTATCAATAGTTAAAAATTATATCAAGATACAAATAATCATAAAATCATATGAGTAGGATGTCTCATTTAATAGATATTCATACTAGAATATATATCTAATTTAATACCATTTAAACTAAACTATATACTATAATATGAATGTAAATAAATAACAATGTTTGTTTTAGTTGATTTATATGTCCACACCAATTTAATATATATGTAACTGTAACATAATTTTAATTATTTAATATATATTTATTATTTCATGTTATGTAAAATACTATGGCCTTGCTTGGTACAACAGATGATAAAGTAGTAGCAGTATGCTATAGAAGTAGTATGCTGCAGAAAATGTATGTTTTCACTAAAATTTTTAATTAAATGATTGGTAGAGCTGTAACAGTATAGAATTTTAAAATTATCATAATAATTAATATAATAATATATTTCTTTTAAAATAATATTTATATTTATAATATATATTAATAATATATTTTCATTAAAAATAATGAATCTTATTCATTATAAAAATTTTATTTTAATAATGTAAATTTATTTTAAAAATATTAAATTATTTTTGGATATAAACATTTTTAATATTATTAAATAAATTAATTAATTATATATAATTTCTATATTAATTATTATTTTCATTTATTGATAGAGCAGTAAATGATTCATATATTAAATTATAATAAAATTAATTTATGTTATATAAATGATTTATTAGTGTCTAAATAATATTATATTTTAAAGGTGAATTATTGTTTTTTTAAATTTAAAATATTTAATTATAATTTTTATTCTTATTTGTAAAAATATAAATTTATTTTGTGATTAAAACAATTAAATAAATTATATATAATTATTTTTAAATTTTATTTGTTTTATATGCAAATGTTCTCCCAAAAACTCTAACATTGTGCAAAGAGCATTTGCATTTGGTTTGGTAAATGTTGATGGATAATAGAGAGCATAATGTTATTAAGTAAAAATATTCATCTAGCTCAAGGCGAGTTTTAACCTAGTTTCTTATTGTTAGGGGTAACGAATCAGTCATGATTGAAAAAATTGTCAATGATGTTTTGGAGAAACTACTTTTAACTCCATCAAAGGATTCTGAGGACTTTGTTGGCATTGAAGATCATATCGCAAAACTGAGTGTATTGTTGCAGTTGGAAGCTGAGGAAGTGAGGATGGTTGGTTTATGGGGTTCTTCAGGGATCGGCAAGACTACTATTGCAAGAGTTTTATTCAACCGACTTTCTCGACACTTTCAAGGTAGCATTTTCATAGACATGGCTTTCGTATCTAAGAGTATGGAAATTTTCAACAGAGCTAATCCGGACGACTACAACATGAAGTTGCATTTGCAAAGAAATTTCTTATCTGAAATCCTAGGGAAAGGAAACATAAAAATAAATCATTTGAGTGTAGTTGGGGAGAGGCTGAAGAACAAGAAAGTTCTTATTTTCATTGATGATTTCAGTGATCAAGTTGTGCTAGATGCCTTGATTGGTCAAATTCAATGGTTTGGAAATGGGAGCAGAATCATTGTGGTTACAAACGATAAGCATTTCTTAAGGGCCCATGGGATTGAACACATTTACGAGGTATATCTCCCATCTAAAGACCTTGCTCAAGAGATGTTATGTCAATCTGCTTTCAGGAAAAAGTCTCCACCTGAAGGTTTCAACGAGCTTGTAGCTGAAATTACAAGACTTGTGGGTAGCCTTCCTTTAGGTCTTACTGTTGTAGGTTCATCTCTACGTGGGAGCAATATGGAGTACTGGCTAGATTTGTTGCCAAGGCTTCAGAGTGGTATAGATGGGAAAATTGAAAAAACATTGAGGATCAGCTATGATGGATTAAGTAGCAAAGATAAAGCAATATTTCGCCATATCGCATGCTTTTTCAATGGTGCAAAAGTCACATACCTGAAGTTGTTGCTCGCAGATAGTGGCTTGAATGTTAATGTTGGGTTGAAAAACCTAGCTGATAAGTCCCTCATTCATATAAGAGAGGATCATGTGGAGATGCATCGTTTGCTACAAGAGATGGGTAGAAGTATTGTTCGACTTGAGGAGCCTGAAAAACGAGAATTTCTGGTGGACTCACATGATATATGTGATGTACTCAGTGAAGGCACTGTAAGTTATCTCTTATGTTCATGCTCCTTTTAGTCATGACTCAATAAATAAGACTTAGAGCATGTTGTTTTATAAGTATAATTACAAATAGTTAGCATTTGTTAAGATTTTTATCTTTCTTATTGATATATATAATTTTCAGGGAACTCAAAAGATATTAGGTCTATCACTGGATACTGATGAGATTGGGGAGTTGTATGTACATGAAGATGCGTTCAGAGGGATGCGTAATCTTTGTTTCCTAAAAATTTATTACTCCAAACAGAGATTCGAAAAAGAAGTTAAATTGCAGTTGCCCGAGAACTTGGACTATTTTCCGCCTAAACTGAAATTATTGCATTGGGAAAACTTTTCAGTGAGATGTATGCCTTCTAAGTTTCATCCTGAAAACCTCGTCGAGCTCATAATGGAGGATAGCAAGCTCGAGAAGCTGTGGGAAGGGATTATGGTAAGTTATGAGAATAGTTTGTTATGTTATCGGTAGTGAGATTATAATCTTTATTTTATTTTTTGGATTATAATCATGTTCTACTGAGCTCATGTGCTTTGTTCCTTTTTATTGTTTGTTGAGTACTATAGGCGCTTCCATGTCTCAAGGAGATGAATCTGTCGGGATCTAAAAACTTGATAGAAATGCCAGATCTTTCAAAGGCCACCAATCTGGAGACACTTAAACTTAGGAATTGCTATAGTTTGGTGAAGCTTCCTTCTTTCATACCACATCCCAACAAACTGACGACAATAAACATGAAGAACTGTCGAAATCTGGAGACTATTCCAATAGGCATTAGCCTCACATCTCTCGAGGTGCTAAATCTCTATGGATGCTCACTGCTGAGGACTATTCCCCTATTCTCAACCAACATCTCACATCTCAGTATAGACGAAACATCCATCGAAGAAATCCCTTCAGTTTTGCATCTGGAGAATTTTTGTCTCGAGAATCTCTCTTATTTAAGCATGAAAAACATAAAGAGTGAGAAACTGTGGGAAAGGGTGCAGGTATGTTAGTTCAAAACTTGACGTTTTCTCCCCCTCTTTTAATCTGTGCATAGCTAAGTGATTTGTTTAAACGAAAATAAGCTAAGTGATTTGTTTCTTCAAGTTATTTCATTTTTTCTTAGCTTAATTATCGAACTGATATTACCAAAAAGAGTACATATCCACACCTTATTTTACTAACTCTCGCTAGGTCGGTCAAAATTTATACATGAGATTATGTGATTTATCATTATGGTTATTAATCCTTTACATATTATTTGAGAAACATTACATTTATGACAATCTTAGAGATATAGTTTAGTCAATCTAAACATATAGTATAGTTTTCATATAACAAATCATATTAATTCTACATGTAAAAATTTATTTGTCATAACCTTTTACAAAAAATATATATATATTCCTTATATAGAATTTACGAAATTACCTAATGCGATCAAGATATATATGATAACTAATGATTTTGAATAATAAAGATTTCATAACAATTTGTTTTCTTCATATTTTTTGTTTAGTTTATCACATTAATGATATAATAAAAATTTAGATTTTCTGTATATGTTATATTTTAATTATTTAAAATGACTATAAATTACTAAAAGTGCTACATTCCATAAAAAATACATAGTCTTTTGATTTCAAAATTTTCATTGAAATAGCTTATTATTTTATTCACAATTTTTCTTGAATTTTTTGAATTAATAATAAAATACTAAAACTATTAAAAGTTTGAAAAACCTTTTTAGTCATTAGTTTAAAAAACTACAAATGATCACAAAACAATATGAGATGAAGGCTTATTTAATAGATAATCATATTAAAAATATATTATACTAGATGATTTTCCCGTGTTCATGCACGGGTATAAATATTTTGAAAGTAAATATATGATAATAATTGATTACTATTTAGTTTTAATTTTAAATTTATTTATAATTTATATGCATCATTTATATTAGTCATATATATTATTTTAATTATACTATAATTTTGTATATGTTATATCTAGTTGGTTCTGTTGTTTTAACGGTTGATTTAGTTATTATTTGGATAAATTGGATTGCATCTATGAATTCAACTGTCATATTTTAAAATATATTAATTTTTAATTAATTACTTATTTTTATATAATGGGTGTTGTCTTAGATTTGTAAATATATTTTAGAAAAATTATGTATAACTTAAGATATATTGGTGCTTAGAATGAATTAAAAATTAACTAAAGTATCTGATTCCAAAATACGTAAATTAATATAACGATAATATTCTAAAGTCTCATGCATATATATAAATTTTACAAAAGAACTAAAATTGTACGAGTTGGTTAATATTTATTTTCATTTGTTAATATTTTTTGAGTTATTCTATGATCGATCAATAGAAGGTTACATACGTAAGTAGTTGATACATTTTTGGAAGCTCATGAACATATATCATTATTTACAATAATTAATATATTTGTAAATTTTAAGTAATTTTATGCTTTAGATTTATTGAATGTAAACTTAAATTTATTTTAAATAATCTTAAATTTGGAAATTCATATTTGCTTTGGTATTTCGATTATGGTTATCTTTAGCTTCACAAACATAAAAACATAAAATTTAAAATAAATTTAATATTAAGAAAAAAAAATAATTTTAATAATGATAAAATATCATATATCTAGCTCATTAAAGTAATTGTTAATTATTTGATCGAGCGATGTTTATTGTTAAATTTATTTTTAGTTTTTAATATCTCTTAAAAATAAGGACTACACAAAGTTGTGATTGTATTTGAAAATAATATTATATAAGTAAAATATAATGTATAGATAATTTTCTGTCATTGAAAGATATTATAGTCAACTAAATATATGAACAATAAATAAAAAAATTCAATAATACGAATTATAAACTATTTTTATTACTCTAAAAGTATATTTTATGTTATTTAAAAATATTTTAAAATGTATTATTACTATTTTATGAATTTTTATTTTTTATGAAATCATATTATATATTCATAGATTTTTTGTTTTCAATTTGTTTTTGATGACTTTATAAAAAAATTCCTTTTTACTACATATATTTTTAGAAATTTTTGAAAATGAAACTAAATAAAAGAATTAATAATAGTATTTCTAACTATTTTATTCATTACGGATATTAGTGTAATCAACAATCGTGAGAGTGAACGTGAAAGCGACACATAGGAAATTGACTTCTCAAATAATATTATAGAGATATGTTACTATCATTTAATTTTAATTATATGCCATCTAAAATAGATTAAAAATGATTCTTTTGATTTAATTAGCATAAATGACTGTAAATAAATAAGAGTGATTGTTTTTATATATGTGTTCGCGTCAACTTAATTATATGCATAATATTTATTGAGTTTTCAATTATTTCATATATATATATATTATTTTATAATATGTAAAAACATAAAATAAATAATAATATAAAAAAATAATTTATATACAAAAATGTGCACTCCAAGCCAAGCACAGAAGTTATCCTAGTGTTAAAAGATAAAAGAGTTTGTGACTATCTATTTCACTTTGTATTTTTTTCTCAAAAAAATGTTTGAAATATGATATTAAGATGCCATTTGTCAAGAAATACAATTAATCAAAAGCTCTCTAGAATTTGGGTTTATTAACTATTGTTAGAGTTTAGTATTTATGAGTTGGGCTCAGGGGCGGACGTATGTTGTTTGTAACAGGGTCACGTGACCCCGACTAAAATGTATTTTCCTTTAGCTAATCTGCTCAAAATTTTGATTTCCTTTAGGTAATTAGCTGAAATTCTATGAATGTGACTCTAGCTATTTTGAAATTTATAAAAGTGACCCCAACTAAAGTATGTCTAGATCCGCCCCTTGGGTTGAGTTATAAATTTTAATAAATTAGTTTTAAAATTTTACAAATGATTTATGAGGATCAATTTAGTCTTTTTAATCACAAATTAATGTATTTATAAAAAGTTATTATTATTTAAGAGTATATTAAAAAGTACTATCATATTTGTGGTAAAATTGAAATTCTCTCATAAACTTGTATTATAAGCAAATAAAATGACATTTGAATCATCTTAATTTGACAACTTTAAGAGGGGATTTGTATTAAAATGACAAATGATAATGTTGTTTTATAGCTTAATATGGAATTTTTGTAATTGGTTCAGCCGCTTACTCTCCTCACCGCGATGCTGTCTCCCTCTTTGCTGCAACTGTATCTATCGGAAATTCCAAGCTTGGTGGGGCTTCCTTGTTCATTTCAGAATCTCCATCAACTGATGCATTTGGAAATTAAGAACTGCGTAAATCTGGAGGCTCTTCCCACCGGAATCAACCTCCAATCTCTCTGGGAACTAAATCTCAGTGGATGCTCACGGTTGAGGACTTTTCCTGATATCTCTACCAACATCGGAAGACTCTATCTAAGCGAAACAGCCATTGAAGAGGTTCCTTGGTGGATTGAGAAATTCTCCTGGCTTAGAGTCCTATACATGAATGGATGCAAAAATCTGGAGACTCTTCCCACCGGAATCAACCTCCAATCTCTCTATGTCTTAGATCTCAGTGGATGCTCACGGTTAAGGGTTTTTCCTGATATCTCAACCAACATCAAAGTCATATGGATGAAAGGATGCAACAAGTTAGAATATGTAAACGTTAACTTTTCTAAACTTACAAGACTTGAGGAAGTTGACTTTTCAGATTGCCTAAACTTGGATCAAGAAGCTATGTTTCAACAGAAAACGTATTTGAATTGTCAACTGTGGTTGTCAGGTGAAAAAGTGCCTTCATATTTCACTCACCGTACTACTGGAACCTCCTCCTCTTTAACCGTCCCTCTACTTCCTAGTTCTCTCTCGCAGCCATTCCTCAGATTCAGAGCTTGCCTTGTTCTTTATTCGACCTGTCTAAATTCTTTCCGCTTCAAAGGTAGATTTTGGAACAGCTTTGATTCCTTTGGTCAGCCACAAGACTTCCGGGCAGACACCAAATATTATTCGATCAAGCCATTTGTGAAGGGTAGTTATCTGTTAATATTGGACTGTGACATCCCTCTAAGCATAGACAGTGATACCCTAGCTGAAATGAACTACACCCATGTTGATTTAGAGATTAATTTTCCCTCTGAGTACGAATTAAAAGAATGGGGCATACGACTCTGTTCGTTAGCGGAGAACCGACTTGGTAATCCAAACACTCTACCACATGTTTTCAAAACCGAAGAAGGTGAAGAATATGGAGGCAATGATGTAGTGACCGAAAGAAGCAGTAAAAGAATGCGGGTAAATCATTAAACTTGAATTCAACACAGTACTACTTATGCCTCATGATTTCTATTACTGAGCCTCTTTCTTTTTTTCTGCAGATTTCGTGAACAAACTTTATATCTGAAAAAGAGCTCTCAACTACAGTCATTATTCAGGTCAACAATGATGCATGTACTCTGAAAATTGCTACCTCTACCAAGACAGACGGTACAAACTCTATCTCTATCACTGACACTGTTCATATTGCTCCAAAATCTACAGCGTCTTTTGAGATCGTCCTCGCTTCCGAATCATATGAGTATCCTCTTGAGGAGACTACCCCTAACATTCAATTTTTTGCTGCCACTACTCGACCAGATACGATTCCATTAGGTGATTATCTTTTGATATCGGCAATTGAAGAAACCAGTGAGAATGTGAATGCCCTACTATTGTTAGCTACAATATCAGCTCTAGAGAATATGGTTGTGTCTCATGCATTTATCTGCATCAATGAAACCAATGAGCCTACTATTTCGGAGTCTACACAGACCTTACCGGTCACCGATACTTCGATTGGTCATGAGCTATTACGGTCCAAAAGGAATATATCCTTCGAGCAAGACCGGTTAAAGCATCAGCAAAAGTTTGGGAGATAAACTTATTTATTAAGTTAGATGGGCTTCCAACCTAAAACTAATTAGTGATAAGGGGAGTGGTCCATCTATCTTATATACTAGATAGAATCATTTCTAACTTTTGATGTGAGACTTTTGTCCCTAATTCGCCCCCTCGAGATGATGATTCTTTGGCGCCAATCTCAGAATGTTTGGGTACAGATTGATGGGCCGAGTTTGGGCTGGATTGATAAAGATCGGGTTACACTGCGTAGATTGTGGGATTTGATACCATGTCAAGTTAGATGGACTTCCAACCTAAAATCAATCGGTGATAAAGGGAGTTAGTTGCCCATCTATCTTATAAAACTTACAGTCCATGGTTTGTGGATGTGGAAACCAAGGATGAGGGAGTCGAGGTGGACGAGGATAAATATATCTTCTCTTATCACTAAAGTCAACCAAAGCATGTGATTTGAGTTTTATGGTTCATTATTTATTCCTACTACTTTTGTAATCTTCTGCAAATCTTTTTGCAAAACTATATGACCACAGTTATAGCTATGTCTTGTATTCTGGTTTGAAAATAATAAAGTAAGTTAAAAAAAACTTTGGTTGTAAAGCAGAGCATCTAATTATAATTATTTCAATGGCTTCTTCCACTAAACCGCAAAGAGGCGTTTCAACTGGTGATTTCAACCGCTGCTCTTTTTGATTCCCTCTGTGTTAAATTATCGAGTATATCAAGAAGCTCTCTTTCTGCAATCGTAATCAAGCTTACTGTTAGTCTGTTACGTAATTACTGTGACGAGATTGCTGAACAAGAAAGAGGGATTCCCATCCAACCTGCTTTTAACGAATCTTGTGGATCTTAGAATGAGGGGAAGTAAGAGCAAAACATTGTGGGAAGGAGTGCATGTATGTTTTCGTAACCTTTTCACACAAGTAAATCTATAAGAAGTTACTAACAGCTCTTTACAAACTTCAAAACATTTTTGGCTAACATATGTATACGTTTTAACGAGAGTAAAACTAATTAATATATGTCCAAAATATTATATGAGTCCTAACGCCCTTAAATTGTTTTTGGTCTAGCCGTTTAATCAATCCCCTGTTGATGATGGAGCTTCATTGGTCTCTCAGCATCTCAACAAACTGATGTTGTTTGAGCATTACAAATTGCATGAATCTTGAGAGATTCTCCCAGTAAACAGGGATTGAAGAAGAGTCCCCCTTGGAGTTATTACTGAAATGCTTTATTTAAAATTATGTTTGACAGTCTCTTTAACAATTTTTTTTCTTGTCTCTTAACATAGTCGAAAGGTTAATATTACCAACAATTTAGAGCATCCACATCAATGAACCCCTTCTTCGGGTTCATTGAATCAATTTTTTATTATTAAAATTTTTTTGTTTTTTTTTTGATTTTCTTTTTTTAAAAAAAAAAAAAAAAAAACCTAAACCAATCCCGCGCCGCCACGTGGTGAACCTCAGGAGAGAGGTGTTCACCCGAGAGAACTTTAGGAGAGAGGGGTTCATAGAATTTTGTTATTTTATTAATTTTTTTTCTTGATTTCCGTGTGAACTCCCTCCATAAACCCTCAATGGGGGTGCTCTTATGAACAATGTACACGGCCTGCTATAGTCTACTGTTGTAGACCTGTAGTCCATTATCTTGCAAATTACTAACTCTGTTTAATAGTTAGTTAACTATGGTTTAAGTTTTAACAAGAATTAATTAATTAATGAGAAACAAAAACACAAACGCGTTGTCCCTTTCCCTGCATTTATCTGGGTTGTCTTTGTTTCCTGAAAAGAAAAGAACTTTTACGTCAACTTTCAATCTTGTTGACTAACGAACTTTCAGACAAAACATACGAGAGGAGTGATCAGTTTCTTCTAAAGGTCTGCATTATTATTTAGATCAGATCGTTGCAATCTTTCTCAGTATTTTGTTTTGGTTCCCTTCATGTCTGCTTCTTCATCGGCTTGTGATTGGGTATACGACGTCTTCCCAAGAGAGGAGAAGATGTCTGATGTCTGTAAGTCATTCCTCAGCCATTTTCTCAAGGAATTGGATCGAAAACTGATGAGCCCTTTCAAAGACAAGAAGATCGAGACAAGTGAATCACTTGACCCCGTGCTTAAGCAATGTTGTTGGATTAAGCTTGGATAGCGTGAAACGCAAGTTACCCTTATCCTAAATTGGTTATGTTTATCTAAGAGATTAGGAAAACTTAATAAGTGTTTTTACTAATAGGATTAGGAGTTTTACGAGTTATATATAAACATAAACATGTGTTGCTTAATCATCACGGTTTGTGTGAGATTGAAGTTTTAGTTTTTGAGATTGAAGTTTTAGTTTTTAGATTGATTTTTGGGTAAACATGCTATTTCCCTTCGAGAACTATCATATAGCATTAGATATCCATCGAACTATCACCTCGTGCCATATCTCCCCGAATTATAAGTTATAAACTTATTTCACCCCGAATCGATAGTTCGAAATCTATTTCTCCTCGAACTAATAGTTTAGAAGTTAATTACACACAAAAAATGGTTTAACCGGTTTATTGTTAACCCAACAACTTTAAAGCAAAACAAAAATTTAATTTTATCAAAAAAAGTTTTCAAAATCTCTCAAAATATGCAAATCTTCAAAATTTCTTTTATAATAGTGATAGTGTGGAGTTTGAATAGTGTATTAGTATTTTTCTTTTTGATAGAAAATAGATAATTGATGTGTTAATTTGGTTTAAATTATATGGTTAACAATAAACCAATAAAAATCATAGTATATGGATAATTAAGTTTCGAACTATCGATTCAGGGAGAAATAAATCTGGAACTTTCAATTCATGGAGATCTAGCACGAAGTCATAGTTCGGTGGATATCTGATGTTATATGATAGTTCTCGTGGAGAAATAGCACGTTTACCCTTGATTTTTCTAAAGCAATACGAAAGTGTTTTTGGTTTGATTATCTGTGGGGCAGTGCGTTAGACGAAGGAAGTAGTCCCTTCCAAAAGTGGTTTACATGGGGCTGATAGGTCTCTGGTTGTGATTTGATTCTTGAGTTCAATAATTCGTATCAGAGCTAATATTAAAAGCAAAAGAAATCTATACTGACAGATAATACGACGAAGAAAGCAACCACCATGGCTGATACGAAAGATAAAACCGAGACCAACAAAGAGATTAATAAGGTGTGGGAAGCAGTTGATCTAGGCAACAAAAATTGAAGAAAAGAATGACCTAGCAACCGCGTTTATCATTCAATCCATACCTGAGGCACTAGCTTTGGTAGTAGGAAGTCTTGATACAGCTAAAGCTGTCTGGGAAGCTGTCATGTTGGAGATGAAAGAGCAAGAGAGGAACGTTCGTAGAAACTAATGACAGATTTTGATATACTCAAGATGAAGGAGAAAGATAGCATTGATTCCTTCTCAGGAAAGATCACTGAGATCTCATCAAAGTCAGCTTGCCTAGGAGAGATCATAGAGGAATCAAAACTTGTCAAAAAATTCTTGAAGAGCTTACCGAGGAAGAACTACATACATATGGTTGCATATCTTGAACAGATGTTGGATCTTAATACATCTAACTTTGAGGACATAGTCGGAAGGCTAAAAGCATATGAAGAGATAATAAAAGAAGAAGATGAAGAAGAACAACTTGGCGATCAGAGAAAGTTGATGTATGCAAATTCTGATTCACAGCAAGAGAACTATGGAACTAATAGAGGAAGAGGACAAGGTAGAAGAGGTAGTTGGGGAGGAGGTAGAGGCCGAGGACATGTTGGTGGGTTTACAGTCAAAAGGAAGCTTGGAAGCAAGGACAAACCAGAGATAAAAGTCACATAACATGCTTCCACTGTGACAAAGTTGGCCACTACGCATCTGAGTGTCCAGATAGGACGCTAAAGCTGCACGAAACCATTGAGAAAAAGGAAGAAGATACACAAGAAGCAGACGATTTAATGATGCATGAAGTCGTGTATCTAACTGAAAAGCATGTGAAACCAAGCTACTTTGAAGCAGAGCAAGATATGGAGAACTTATGCTACCTCAACAATGGGGCAAGTAATCACATGAGTGAAAATCGACTATTTTTTTTCAAGCTTGATGAAGACATTAGTGGAAAGGTCAGGTTTGGAGATTTATATCACTCAAATTACCTTAAGGAGTGAATTACTCTCTCAAATAAGAGGTTCAGCTGTACTACTTAGAGATCGAATCCACATGGAGCTAGGGCACACAATAGATCTAAACAAATTAAGATTAAGTTAGGCTAATAGTTGAAATAGTATATTGCAGTAAATATACTAAATGAAGTAAATTAAACAATAAACAAGTTGAATAAGACAACTGTTCAGCTTGGCAGAGAGTTGCTTGATGGAAGGATGATTTGCTATAGGGTTTCTATTCAAGAAATCAAGATTATAATGATATAGGTTACTAAGCTGCTAGATATATTAGAACTCAACTGGGAGTACAAATCTAACAACCTTCGTTGTATAGATAGTCTAATATCTAGATCTTGGATCTTAACTTTCATTTATTGATCACAAGAAAGTTCTGATCTGATTATTCTATAGGAATATCGATCGATGCACCTTTCACAATATCGATCGATTAATCTATTGGATTATCGATCGATATCGCTTCTAGCAAGCTTTAAGATAGGGTTGAATATGTGTTCACTAGGGTTCCTAAATCAACTTTCATATGCACTTAGCAATCCTAGCTTATAGAATTCAGTTCAGAGAAAGACCAAGCGTTCGCAATTGCGTCTAATGATTCTAAGATCAGGGTTCTAGTTCATGAATCTAGAACACAAGCAGTAACAACAATCCTATGATGAATATCACAACTTAGCAGTTCTATATTTTGGGCTAATCCTTCATAACCTATCTGAACCCTAAACTTAACAGGTGGATTTATTCAGACATGATAGTTGTCACATAAATCATAGATGAATAGATGAAAAGCTTAAATAATATAAAACCAAAACCAATGAAGTTCCATGAGGAATCTGATAAG